ACTTCCACTTTCATGCTGCACATTTTTACCTGCATGGAATGCACATGGAAGCAACCATGTGCATTTACTTCGGACTGTTTTGTAAAAAAAAAAAAAAAAAATCAGAATATATGTACATGCAAGTCAACGGATACAGCAACATGAATTTTAATATGTTCCAATGCAAGTAAAAACACCAGCTAAAGTATTCAAACTGCCATCGAGCAAAAGTGGAGTGGGTTATAACCTCTGGTTCGCTCGCTGTCCATAAATACAGCAAATTGATATTTAATTTTTGATTTTCTGACAAACATAAAAAAAAAAAAAAAAAAATCAAATAATGCAATTGAGTTGAAAAAGCCCTAACTGAGCACAGCATAAAATTAAGTCACATTCTATCAGATTGCTTGATGGCGTCCCTGGTACTGATTCATTTCTATTCAATCACATTTATTTTCTTAAACCATTATTTTATTAGAGTTTGTAAAATGGATAGAAATTTGCAGTGCAATTAAATTCCTTAACAGTCAATAGGTTACCTTGGTTTATTCATATTAGCAATTGAAAGCTGAAAATTGCTATGAATATGAAAATTGTCATATATATGACCTGCATTAGACCAGGTATACAAGACCATTTAAACCTTATGCTACTGACAGATTTAGAGCCCTGGGAAAATTAACAACCTCCCATTCATCGTTTTTTTTTTTTCTTTTTCAAATAAAATATCTTGTGAAGATCTTTTTAATATGCTAACTCAATTGCCTGTGCCCCTAGCTGGTGCTGCTTTTGGAAGTGACAACCAGTGAATCCAGAACAGCAGGCTATGCCCACAATGACTCGTTGATACTTTGTGCATCCTGAAAGGATCCTGCTGTTGGATTGGCAATGGAAAGAGGTCACAGCACTGCCAGCGTGCCATGTGACCATGTGCCATGTGACCATTGTTTTTAAGTGAGTATTCTGGGTTTCTAGCGTAGGGGTTTTCTTTGTTTTGTTTGTTTTTTTTTAATTAACCAAGTAAATAGATGGGGATGGGACTTACCTACCAAAGTTGAGCAATAACCATTTTTGGACATCTCCACACTTGCAACAAATTAATGTCTATGTTCCTCAAATGGACAAACACACAAATCCCGCCAGCATTATACAACGGTATACATTCAATGTTTCGGATTGGATTTTTGGATCATGGTATCTGACCGGTTACTGTATATATCATATTTACATTGAAATATTATTGAACATATGGGATCAAAGTCTGCAGAAAATCAACACAAAGGTTTATGCACATAAATGTAAAGAGTCGTTAAATAACTGATGATAACCCAAATCATTTTCTCTTTATAATTTACAATTCACCGGTGCATGTGTATTGAGATATAAGCATGTTCAATCAGACAAAACCAGGAGCCAACAAATCTTCTGTGCCATGGGACATATGTATCAACAGATTACAATAAAGGAGGTTCTATGGATTATTTTGTGGATGCTATGGATATTTTGAGATTTTCTTAACCTTTTATTTTTGCAAGGAAAAAAAAAAAGTTTAAAATGGTAGCCATCCATACAGGCAGCTCTGTTATCATGTGAGATTTGTTTTTTTTTCCAAAGTTTTAGATACAATCTCTACTAACTGAAAACTCGCTGTACAATTGATATAAAAAGTCTACACACCCCTGTTAAAATGTCAGGTTTCTGTGTGTAAAAAAATGAGACAAAAATCATTTCAGAACTTTTTCCACCTTTAATGTAATCTATAAACTGTACAACTCAGTTGAACAACAAACTGAAATCTCTTAGGTGGAGTGAAGTAAAAATAAAAAAAACTAAAATAATATGGTTGCATAAGTGTGCACATCCTTAAACTAATACTTTGTTGAAGCACCTTTTGATGTGATTCCAGCACTCAGTCTTTTTGGGTATGGGTCTATCAGCATGGCACATCTTGACTTGGCAATATTTGCCCACTCTTCCTTGCAAAAACACTCCAAATCTGTCAAATTGCGAGGGCATCTCCTGTGCACAGCCCTCTTCAGATCACCCCACAGATTTTCCATCGGATTCAGGTCTGGGCTGTGGCTGGGTCATCCCAAAACTTTAATCATCTTCCGGTGAAGCTATTCCTTTGTGGATTTGGATGTATGCTTTGGTCATTGTCATGCTGAAAGATGAAGTTCCTCTTCATGTTCAGCTTTCTAGCAGAAGCCTGAAGGTTTTGTGCCAATATTGACTGGTATTTGGAACTGTTCATAATTCCCTCTACCTTGACTAAGGCCCCAGTTCCAGCTGAAGAAAAACAGCCCCAAAGCATGATGCTGCCACCACCATGCTTCACTGTAGGTATGCTGTTCTTTTAGTGATGTGCAGGTGTGTACTGACTCCTATCTAACAAGATTTTGAATGTGATTGCTCACTTCTGAACACAGCTACATCCCTAGTTATAAGAGGCTGTGCACACTTAAGCAACCACATTATTTTAGTTTTTTTTTTTGTTTACTCCCCCCCCCCCAAAAAAAAATATTTCAGTTTGTTTTTCAATTGAGTCGTACAGTTTATAGGTCACATTAAAGGTGGAAAAAGTTCTCAAATGATTAATCTTTGTCTCATTTTTTTACATCTCAGAAACTTGACATTTTAACAGGGGTGTGTAGACTTTTTATATCCACTGTAGTTAACCTTTAACAAAGGGAATCTTGTAGTGCCAGGCAAATGCAAAGCTGTCAGTGCGGTACAAGAATAAATAAGGTAGTAATCATTTGTAGTTTCCATCAAACAATGTTTATTCAGTCAAAAAGATAGCCACACTTTTCTGTAAAGATTACAAAGAATAAAACAAGACGTACTGTTGGTGATTGGCTAGTGTAAAGGAGAGCAAAGGAAAAAAAGAGAAATCCGAATAGAGCCATTTATTAAATGAGTATAAATTACTGTAAACTACGAATACACCAGCAGAATATTGGGCAAATAATTCTTATCAAATAAGTTAATTATTGGCCTGTAGGTCTGGGTTATAGTTTATCTAAGTGTACCCAAGCAGTGGTTCTATGAATGAAAACAAAGCTTCCTATGACTGGCTAAGGTGGAGAGGTGGGCAGATGATGCCATGACTCACAAAATACAAAGCTTCCTGTAAATGGCTGTGGCTAAATACACTTAAAGTGATATTAAAATAAGAAACAGATCATACGTACCTGCTCTGTGTAATGGTTTTGCACAGAGCAGCCCTGATCCTCCTCTTCTTGGGTCTCCCACCTGCTGAGTGCCCTCATACATGCTCTCTCCTGAGGCCTGCTCTGTGTCTCTATAAGACACACAGAGCATGGCTCAGCCCTGTTCCCTGCTTGCTGGCTGTGATTGACAGCAGTGGGAGCCAATGGCTTCGTTGCTGTGTCTCAGTCAATGAAGAGAGAAAGATTCGGGAGAGCTGAGGCTCCCTTGCACAGCGCTGGATCATGATTGGGCTCAGACAAGTCTTTGGGGGGCTGTGGGGGGAGCAGCACACAGAAGGTTTTTTTTATCTTCATTCAAACCTTCAGCCTTTACAACCACTTTAATACAGCGTGCCAAGCAAGCACACCCGTTAGTGCAGTAAATAATTTGTATGGACCATCTTGGACATTAAAACGTGGAGTTAGGCATTAATAAATTTCAGCTTACTAGTCCTTAGATGTTGTGGCTGCTGTAGCCATTTTTTAGGTTTTTCTCCTTTATAATCTTGCCAGTAACACAATTCCTCCTATGAGGTAACAGTCGCTCACTGAACTGCATCTATAGAGCAGCAATTGTATCACCCTTGGATAGGAAGTGTATTAGGAGTAGAGAATACCTGGTCTTCCTATCTTCTCCACAACATAGGAGGGAGGTGTTCTGCAGTTTGCAAAGGTGTACTGTGCAGAGCCGATACTCCAATGCTCTCTCTAATGCTCCAATAAAACATCCGATGCCCTGATAACATAGCTTAATAAAAACTGCCTTATGCACCAATATAGATGTTAAGACCGCTGGGACCACAACTATGGCCGGCCTTAATATCTGTATTATTGCTGCCAGTTGGTCTCATTAAGGTGGTGCGCATGGTGCACTTACACAGCGGTCCCACGGCCCTTGCGCTCATTCCTCCACGGCAGTGCTGGGAGGAAGTGACATACGACTACACTTCCTTCCAGACAGCCACACTGGAGGGAAGTAAAGCACCACTAGACTCCAGGGAATAACTCCGCTCAGTACTTTTCCTGGGTTGTGGCTGGTTGATGGAGAGCGCATTTTGAAAGGAGTGAAAAATGCAAAAAAAGAAATTCTAGTGTAGTGTCATGACTGAATATCCCTCCATTGCAACCCATGCTACCATTCAGCAGGACCTATCTTTGTGAGAGTGGCTTCTAAGTTCTGGTTCAGCTGAAGACAAGAAATAGGAACAGAATGAACATTGAACATGACCTCAGAGTTGCTTTGTCTACCATCACCATAGACTTTGAGACACTTATCAAGAGCAAGAAGCATCCCCAGTTTTCCCATTAGTTCTAATTCATTTAAGATGTTTCAATTACCATTCATTTTATTGGGTTTTTACCTCAACAGCACTTCCATTTTCACCAGCACTGAGATTACTGCACCATCCATTTTATAAAGAGGCCGCTTGTGTACTATTTAAAAAATGCATATACATTGTAGACTAATACACCAGTTGTTCTGTGAAGAAATTAAAATGTCTTGCAAATTAACCACTAGCCTACCAGGCATTTATGCCCCCTTCCTGCCCAGGCCAATTTCCAGCTTTCAGCGCTGTCACACTTTGAATGACAATTGCGTGGTCATGCAACACTGTACCCATATGAAATTTTTATCATTTTTTTTAGACAGATAGAGCTTTCTTTTGGTGGTATTTAATTACCTCTGAGATTTTTATTTTTTCTTAAACAAACCAAAAACCACTGAAAATTGTGAAAAAAAAAAGTTTTTTCTTAGTTTTTGTTATACAATTTTGTAAATAAGTGATTTTTCTCCTTCACTGATGTGCGCTAATGAGGCTGCAGTGATGGGCACTGATAGGCTGCACTGATGGGCACTGATGAGGAGGCACTGGTAGGTTGCACTGATGGGCATTGACAGGCATCACTGATGGGCACTGAAAGGCAGCACTGATACATGAAACTGATATATGGCACTGATATGCGGCACTGACTGACACTGATAGGTGGCACTGGCACTGTTAGGCAGCACTGACTGGCACTGATAGGCGACACTGACTGGCACTGATAGGCGGCACTGAAAGGTGGCACTGACTGGCACTGATGGGTGACATTGAAAGGCAGCTCAGATGGGCACTGATATGTGGCATTGATGTGCACTGGTATGCACTGATATGTGGCATTGATGTGGCACTGATGAGCACTGACTGCTGGCACTGATGGACACTGACAGGTGGCACTTCTGGGGCCACACTGATCATCAGGGCACATTGATCATCAGTGCCCTGATGATCAGTGTACATGTCCCCCCTCCGCGGAAAGCCGATTATCGGCTCTCCTCACCTCTCGAGCTGTCAGCGTGACCGCTCGAGAAGAGAGAAATGCCGATAACCTGCATTTCCGTGGTTACATATGATCGGCTGTGATTGGACACAGCTGATCACATGACCAAGCCGACATCTTCGGCTCTTTCCGTGATCCGCAGTGTCCGAGGGACACAGCACACCGGCAATCGCCGCCCTGCGCGCTCCCTAAACCGCGCATGTGAGAATGGAAGGACGTCATATGACTTTCTATCAGAATGAGAGAACCACCTTGTGCCCGTCATTGTACTATATGGCGGGCGGAAGGTGGTTAAATTATTTTTGGGTTGTAAATTAATGACCAAGGACAAATATGGGTCCTGAGGTTCCATAGGTTGAGAACCACAGCTGTAAAGTACAAAATATAGCACTAGATTTCTGGCAAGATCAACATATCATTTTTGCAGTTATGAAACAAATATAACAACCGGCAAAAGAAAGCAAATGAGATTAGTTAGATGTTAGAGTTTACTAATATGCTTGCCACTGAAGAGCTGGGGGGAAGAATCCCGTAGTACAATAATATATCTACCTTTATAAGACTTTTGTGTAGTATGGTAGCATTTATATTATCCCCAACATAATAGTAAATTACAACTTGGGAGTTGAACATCCCTTAACCACTTTAAGTCTGGACACTTTCACCCCCTTCCTGTCCAGACCAATTTTCAGCTTTCAGAGCTATCACACTTTGAATGGCAATTGCGCGGTCATGCAACACTGTGCCCATATGAATTTTTTAGCATTTTTTTTGAAACAGATAAAACTTTATTTTGGTGGTATTTTGGGCCAAACATTTTGAAAAAAAGTGTTTTTCTTATAACATTTTGCTAATAAATAATCTTTCTTCATAGATCTTGGCCAAAATGTATTCAGCTATCTTTTTAGTAAAAAAAAATATAACCCAAATTAGTTTATAACCACAAATTATAATTTTTCAAAACTTTTTTGACATTTTATTTTATTTTGAAACGGATGCATCTGCAAAGAGAGCTTGTTCTTTTGAAACACAATAGACTTAATAGCTGGATCAGCTGGTAAAAAAAATAAAAAAAAAGCCTAAAAAAGAAAACAAATGCAGTCATCACATCTAAGAATTGGTAAACAGCGATATAATACGTTTTTGCTTTTGGGTTTAAAGCATACTCACTGTGGAACCTAAGGAGTTAATCCTCTGCATTGTGTAAAAACACTTGTTGATCCTGTTTGATCCTGTCCTGTCTTCTCTGATCCTCCCCTTCTCCAGTGCCCCCCCTCCTATCTCCTGATAAGACATATCATGTGGAGTCACTCTGCACATGCTCAGTTTGGTGTGTATTGCTAGAGAGGTTTTTTTTTTTCTTGGGAGAGTGCATGTGATCAGCACAGGGCCAATCAGCACTGTCCAGACAGAGGTCAGGGGTTGTGCATCCTACTACAGTAGAATGAAAACTCCTCCCTTTAACATGTGCTCTACTGGACACTGATAGAAGTCACAAGACTGCTCTAAGTGCTGATGAGAAAAGGTATTTTTCAGTTTATATTTGCTAAAATAATTGCACTTCCATGTTCTGTATACTGAGAGAGACCAGATATAGTGAATGCAGGGTCTTGGGTTTATTAACACTTTAAATAAATCAGAGCTCAGTACAGGGACTGTAGTTGTGGTGGGTTCTGCGGTAAACTTGATATGTCAAACCTAATAAAACCTGAACCAATAAGCAAATACCCTAATTTACAGGGCCAATCAGCACTGTCCAGACAGAGGACAGGGGTCCTGTAGCCTCCCAGAGCAGAATGAAAACTCTCCTACAAGCTTTAACATGTGCTCAGCTGGACACTGATAGAAGTCACAAGACTGCTCTAACTGCTGATGATGAAAGGCATTTAGCAGTTTATATTTACTAAAACAATTGTACTTCCATTTTCTGTGTACTGTAAGAGACCAGATATATTGAAGGCAGGGTCCTGGGTTTAGTAACACTTTAATACTGCTTTAAGGGCAGCTTTTTACTCATAGAAGGTTCTTTGGGGAATAACATGTTACAAATGCACCAGCCTTGGCCCCCTCCCCCCATCCCCCATTGTAATAGCCAGTGGGTGATCTCCTCACCCTGCTATATGTCACAATCTGAAAAACAAACAGGACAACATGTGGGCCGCTTCATTCATTCACAGTGTTCTGTGAATGGGAATACTACAAGTCCTGACAGTCTATGCAGCTGTTGGCTTGTAGTTTTCAATGAACTACCAGGGTTGTTGAGTAGATAGTTAATTGAGCTTCCCGTCAGTATGTCCTGTATTGGAGGTATGGGCAGAGAATCACACAGTCTGCAGGACCATAGCATTACACCTACGATCTGCTGATCATGGGTGCAATGCTTTTACAGTTGCCTAACAAAAAAATAATAAATCCATATCTTTTTACCTGCAAAAAATTTGCATTTATTATTTTTTTTTCAGAGAGGTGAACTTATCCTTTAAGGAGAAATAAAGAGATGTTTATTGACTGTAAAAATGTACTAAGGTTTCCCACAGAAAGTGATGTAACCTCATGTGGCCATTTAAAATCAATAAAGCATGGTTCTAATACAGCAGAACTGTTGACAAAACTATTTTCTATTTAGGCATTCAGTTACATCCATAAGCATCCAAGGCCACTTGGCACAAATACAGCCTAAAATACAGAGACATTTAATACAATTTGCAAACAGGTGTTTCAGACTTATTAGCTCTTACCAGTGCAAGATAGTGTAAAACATTCTATAAAGTAGTGTTTGGGAAGCAAACAGTCATGATCTGCTGGGCAGCACAGTGGCTAAATGGTTAGCAGTCCCACATGGCAATACTAGGGTCGTTGTTCCGAATCCCAACCATGGCACCAAGGTGTTTTTCTACATCATGCTTTACAGTAATAGGGGTTAGACATTTACCTCTCCCTGAATGAGCATGGCATCAACCTACAGCTGAAGCATTTTACGTACTTGCGTTTGAAGAGCCCGGTCAACCATTCAAGCATTGTTGAGCAGGTCTAAGGTTTGCCTGGAGTTTGCATCTTCTCCCTGTGCCTGTGTGGGTTTCCTCTGGGTACTCTGGTTTCCTCCCACAATCCAAAGACATGCTGGAAGATTAACTGGATCCTGTCTAAATTGGCCCTAATATGTGTATGTATGAATGTAAATTAGGGATCTTAGAAGGTACGCCTCTTGAGGGTTAATGACTGATGTGAATGTACAATATATATGTAAAAGCGCTGCGTAAATTGACGACCCTATATAAGTACCATAAATACATTTTTATTTATTTATTTATTACAGGTACTTTTATTGCGCCGTCAATTTATGCAGCGCTTTACATATATATTGTACATTCACATCAGTCCTTGACCCTCAAGGGGTGTCCAATCTAAATTCCCTAACTCACATTCATACATACTGTACACATATTAGGGCCAATTTAGACAAGATCCAATTAACCTACCAGCATGCCTTTGGGGAGTGTGAGGAAACCCACACAGTCACAGGGAGAACATGCAAACTCCAAGCAGGTGGTGCCATGGTTGGGATTTGAACCAGCGACCCTAGTACTACCAGGCGGAAGTGCTAACCATTTAGCCACTGTGCTGCCCATAAATGATGATCGATGAAGCTATACCATCCCACCACTTTACATATATATAGTGTCAATAGTGGCTCTAAAAAGCGCTCAGCAAGCATCTGCAGACATAAAATATACAGAGCTCCTTGAAAGGTGTTTTTCTACATCATGCTTTACAGTAATAGGGGTTAGACATTTAACTCTCCCTGAATGAGCATGGCATCAACCTACAGCTGAAGCATTTTACGTGACTGCGTTTGAAGAGCCCGGTCAACCTTTCAAGCAGTATTGAGCAGGTCTAAGGTTTTCCTAGTTTCCCTTTTAAGATAAATGTCAATCTAGTGACAGCTGCCACTTTTACGCATCTCAGTTTCTATTAAAATTTCATGTGAAAGAGATTTTCCTAGAAAGCCATGTCAGTCAGACTTATACCGAGGAACTAAAACACATGCCATCTATTTTCGCTGAATTTTTCTTACATTTGTCAAGACTGGAAAATCAATGGAAGAGACTCGACAGCAATAGGTGTGCATCATGCTGTTCCAAGCACTGAATTAGAAAACAGAGCATGTGCACTGCCCCTGGATTCCACCAGACACCAGATTCCAGCCAAAGGGAAAAATGAAAGACTTCTAAGGGCAATGCACATATTTTATATACAGTATGTACGATTCACACTTAAGGAACACACCAGATTTTCAAGTATATTACAAACCATCAGATTACCACAGAATAAAAAATTGTGTTTTCAAGTGCACATTTTTGCCATAGTATACAAATCAACGCTACACTTGGGTCAGTATTTCTCAAAGAATTCCTTTAAAAAGACCTGGTAACCTCATTGCTGTAAAAAATCCCAGGAGAATTGGCAGGGCATTTTTTTTTTGTTGCAACAGGAAAAATGTTGGTTTGTTTTGTGTACGACCTAACATACCAACTTGTGTTTTGCCTACCTCCTTGGAAATATTCTGTGGGTATCAGGAAATACCTGTTGGCCAGCTGGCTCTGGACACCTATGTGTATTTCTGCTCCTGGTTCTGAGAATAGAATAATGGCTAGGCAGGCACCTGCACACAGGAGTGCATATGGTAGAGTGTGTGTGGATATGTGTGCTTGCCCAAGGTTAGTATTGACACCAAATAGCCTATTAAAGAGTTGGACTGACTTAGCATCAGTGCCAACCAGCTTTCAGCATGTTCCCCATGTCCTGACCTGTGTGCTGCATGTGCTTCTCAATTCTGACCTGGCTTTCTCCTTTACTGACTTAGGATCCTGCTCTGCTGTTTTGCCAGTTTCGGA